TCCCCTGGAGGTCTACAAAGTTTTGTAGTGCTCTTAGGGAGGGTTCAGGCATCAGCTTATCTGACCTAAAAAGTGGGAAAACAGAGAATTTCCTCACCTGTGTGACGTGTAACACTGTCAAGAGTTTGCAGATGGCTCCAACAAGCACCATTCGTTGTCCTGCTTCCAAGGTCTCCCTAGCAGTTTGGCACATAGACAGCAAGGCAGAGAGAGCAGTGTTCTAGCAAGGACAGAAAAGTTAGGAGCACTTCATGAACTGAAATCCAGTAGCACACATTCACTCATCATATGGAGCTTTAAATATAAACAACTTTAGATTGTTACACTCATAGAGCCAATTCCTGTTGTTGTATATTATTCTTAAACAATGCTGTTGTGTTGCATTAAAACTGGTTTCTCAGGTTTTTCAGCCATTAAGTTATGTTTCTCCTCTACTTTCCCCCCATTTATTTTGGTTTGCATGATCACCTGCAACAGTCTGTATTTTACCTTACTTAAGACCACAAATGGTAATAATTTCTAATAACATACAAGCCATCTGTTCATCTAAAGAAGAACTCTTACCTTCCTTTTGCTGGAATCGGATATGTGACATCCTTTGTGTCAAAAAAAAAACCTCACAGAAGAACTGATCAGCATCTACCAAAAGTTCCTGGGATTTGTGTAGTTGTTGAGAGGCCACACAGCCAATATGGAAATGCAATTTTTGTAAGACCATTTATTATTGTCCATTCAACAGACTTTACTGAAGAGGACAGCACAGAAATGAACTGGATGTGTGTATAGCAACATCAATTTATAAGCTATCTAATATGCCTATAAGAAGCTGTCTAACATGGAAAACCAAAACACTCATTTTCTAATTTGATATTTCAACAGCCCTGACAACATTTGGGGCTATGATGAAAATGGCAAAGCTGTCATAAAATTGGCAGAATCCCATTCAATGTGCTTTATACATGATCCAGTGGCAGGTGGCAGTGAAGTGACACTCCAGATCTAATTTTTTTAGTGAGCTTATAGCTCAAAAGTGCACCCAAACCCAAACACTAGCACAGACTGACTCAGCCAGCCATCCTCAATCTATACCATTCCATAGGAGGTATAATTTCAAAAAAGTCAGTGGGGAAAGTTTATAACAACGCTAGATGCATCTGTCCTTCAGGCTGCCCTTCAACCAGAGAACTATGATCAACTGGTAACTTCTATTTTTAAATGTTCTCATGCCTCCATTCCAAGTGGGCGCCGGATCAACTACATCCTAGGTCTCACTCCAGAAACACACACCTAAAATTTCGATTGTATGTCACACTTGGAAGAAAATCCTTTTAGTGAATATGCAGTAAAAGCTGGGAGAAATCTGATCTTGACTCTTGCAGAAACAAAAAAAGAGCTCACTGGATAGACATTATAACAGACCTTGATATGGCAAGAATCAGCCAGAAAGCTTGGAGATTACTGAAAAGACTAAATAATAATCCAAACAAAAGGATACTGTATGCAAATATATTGAAACCAGACAAAGAAATATCAAACCAGGCAAAGAACCCAAAGCTACAGGCTAATCCCCCTACTATGTCACATAGAACACGTTTGAATGAATGATATTAAACCATCTAGCCCCTAAAATTGAACCACTTTTAATTTCAGAACAGGCAGGCTTTAGACCTGTCAAAAGCTGTATGGCTCAAATCTTAAATCTAACCCAGCATACAAAAGATGGTTTTGAAATACTGATTATTTTTTAATTTGTTACATAAAATATCTGGAGCGGCATTTGTTGACCTTACAGGAACATATGACTGTGATGAGATGGGTTTTTGAGTTAAAATCTTTTAAGGCATATGGGTTTTGTAATTAAGAAATAAGCCAGAGAGGTTCCATTTTGTTTCTTTGTATATAGTATCTGTGCTATGCTGACAAGTTGTTTTCTAGGCGAGCAGAGAGAATGTTATTCTGAAGGCCTGAGAAAGGACTGTGTGTGATCACTGCTTTCCCCCTCCACTAAACCCCACAAAAGCAGGATCAAAGGGCTGCAGAAGTGGAGGGAGAAAGCAGTGATGAAAGGTCACCATTTTGAAAATTATTACAAACTGATTTTGAGATGTCATGTCACTTAACACTTGTGAAATTAAATATTATGGATTTCAAAAGAGGATGTAGGTACTTTTTTCCATATGTGGTGAGAATGTGAATTAGCACTGAAATTTTGGAAGCTAGTATGGAAACTTTAATGCAGTATCAATTAACTGAATGGTATAGTGAGATGTGGGAAATAGCAAATGACAAACTGACATGTGATATAAAATTTTAAAAGGGATTGTTAACGGAAAATAAGTCTATTGCTATATGATTACGACTTTCTGAATTTTGTATTATTGAAAGGTGAAAGTTGTTTACCCAAATGAGATATAATGTCATTTTGGAAGTGTTATGGGGCATCATAATCAACAGTTTGAAGGAAATGTATCTCTATTGGTCCTGGTGACGGGTGCACTAATGTTAGTTGTGTTTACTGATGTAGTAAGACGTGGGTTTTTTTTCTTTTATGTTGTGTTTGCATATTGAATTCTTAATCTTTTTTAAGGAATCTGGCTGTATCAAAATGATATGCACACCCACAAACAATAAGAACAGCTTTGTTCCTGTGCTCCACAGCAGAATATGCTCATGTCGTATGGTGTAAATCAGCACATGCCAAACAAGTGGATGTAACTCTTAATGAATCATGCAGGATAATTACTGTCTGCCTGAAACCTAC